TAGGGAAAACTCACTGTACTCTGGAACAGTCCCACAAAGCAACAGCTAATATGCTGTGTGGAGCCATAGTTAAGAAAACAAAAACAAAAAAAACCAATCCATCTGGCTGGCACTGAAAATTAATACCTTAATGCTGACCTTTTAATCATTTTAATACCGTATGGTTTGTTACTTCTTTCCTAATTAAAGAGATTAAATGTGCTTCTCAGGGTATAGTGTAAGGTCAATGCTTGGAGCAAAGGTTGGAAGATGCACTTGAACTAATACTTCCAGGAAACACTTCACTGGGGAAGTGAGGGGAGAATGAGAGTGTTGTTCATAGGAGAGCAGTACCTTGAATTTGGATTTAAAAAAATCCACTGCTGCAGCAGAGGTTTATCCTGACTACCAGCATGAGGGTTATGCCTGACAGTGAAAAAACTCCTGGTTAGTGTTTGGGACAGGGGTGCCACACATAATGATGCTTGGAATAACGTGGGTTAAGAAACACACTCAACTTCAGGCTTACTTTTGCAGCACATGTATAAGGTTACAGGGAAAGGCAAAAGATTGAGAAGAGTATTTTAAAAATATCTATTTTCATGAACAAGGGGTCTCAAGACAACGGCTGCAACTTTCTGTTTCTTCTTCTCTTATTTAGATATTCTTAGTGGTAACCAAGGTGCTCGTCAACATCATGCTGGCATCTGGTCTCCTTCCTCAGACATGCCACGTATAACCAATGTTTTCATTCACACAGGTTTGTCTCTCACACAGAATAGTACTTTCAGATAAGGACAGTATAGACGGCTGGTTTAGCAAGATATGTGGTTCTAATCAACTCTCAGAGAACCCTGGAGGTTCCTTTAAAAGATAGAGTTGGTCTTTTTGCTTGCTGCAGTAGGGGGAGTCTGAACTGATCCTCCACAGGCTCATTTCTGATAGATGGTTAACATAACACAGTGCCCTTTCCACTTCACTCCTGCCTCCCTTAGGAAACAGGACAGACCATGTCTCCAGCAGACCACCAGGTCAGAGCCACTAAATCAAAATGCCCTCTCTGGGGTCCTGAGGCATCATGGGACACAGCACATGGTGAAGGGATTGCAGCAAGGAAGTGTGGTGTAACAGTTCCAACACTGCAACTCTGCTCTGGAGAGCTGCCTCTGTCACAGGCAACTCCTCACACGTGCAATTTGGGTAGTATTTTAGTTGCTCTGTGTAAGACAGAGACTTCCATGAGTTATGGGAACATACATCTAACCAATGTGAATGTTGTTTTACCCTTAGATAATGTCCTAACATATGAAATGGAGAAGGGTTGAGCAAGCCAGGGCCTACAAACCTCAAGCTCAGACTCAGCAGATTCTTCCAGTCTTACCCTCTTTGTGCTTCTAGTCTCCTGTTTGAAACAGGGACCACACATCCTTATCTCAAGAGAGGCACTGTGAAAAGTAACTAATCCAAAGTATATGCCTGCTCCAGTGATGACTGCCACAGAAATTACTGTTTCAAAAAGACTACCTAGGCAAAATATATTACTACATACAGTCAATAAGGCCCACAGTTACACTCCGAGCAGCAAAAATAGAACAAAATGTTGAGTAGATGCTGTTTCAGAGGGCACTGATCACATTATATGCCAAATAAAGCAAAGACTCTGTGGAAGGAATAGCATATGGCTATGCATGTACTATTACCAAATAATGACACTGCCCTACCCACTGCTGCCAAGTAAAGGTTAAAGTTTAACAAGGCTGACATTTCCTTTTAAATTCCTGACTTTGTAATAATGTTTAGATGGAAACTTCAATTTTAATATATAAAAAGTTCCACCCCCATCAGGACTGCTAACAAACTCTAAGCACATAATCCCTAAGTAGGGTCAAGACCTTTTGGCTCGACAGCACCAGGCGTCCATCAGCTGAAATGGCTGCTCCTCTCTGTGTTGGCTTGAGGGAGAAAGATGTATTAGGCACACCAAGCTTTTTGACAACTGAGAAACAAAGAAAGATGGTTTTGATTCTCCTCTCAGAATACAAGTCATATTTTTTGACATTTTGAAAAAACTGCAACTGATAGTACTCAATTTCCCTTACTTTTCTCTGTCTCTTACACAAGATGGGAGAAAGAAAACAAGGTTTGTTGTGTTGTTTTTTTTACTGGCTCCCCCAGCACTAGACAGGCCTTCATGGCAAATAAAGACATTACAACCTATCCTAGTGAGTACATTAAGATTTCGGCTTCCCCTAAAACCTGTCATTTAAATAAGCACAAAATTAGGCTTCAGAATCAGCCAGTCACGGAGACAAATACAGCACTTTGGGCAGATGTGCAGGGAAATTATTCATTTGCTTTACACCTGATCCAAACTTCATCTATTTTAAAAACAAAATTAGAAGAGTCATGCAGCAAATGCTCGTCTACAGATATTCTGCCTGACTGCAAAGGTATTCTGCCTGACTGCAAGAGGTATTCTGAACTTGGTCTTATTAGTCACCTACTCCTTTCCACAACCATAAGCAGTAAATGGCAGATGATACTAAACAAGGATTTCACAGTGTAACTAAACAAAAGTTAGGAAGGAGTCCTCTAAAAGAAGAAGATGAAGTTTATTACATCCTCTTTCTTCTCATATATAGCCTTATTAGTTTGCAGGTAGCAAACTCAGTGATGGAAGGACAAGTACCACTTGTGCCAAAAAATAGCTGGTTTTCTAGTTAAAGTAAAAAATAAGCAATTTGCATCTTATGGAAGGTTTTACAAGTTTCTATAGTAACTGCTATCATGTTACAGAATACAAAATGCAACAAGCTGGAGTTTCCATAGAAACGACACAAGCAGTTTGATTAATATGCAGACATTCCAAGACAAATGGGAATGTTTAAATTCATTTTATACAGAAAACTCTATTAAACAGAATACTATAAACTTGGGCAATGTATCTTAGGAAGAAGTATTCTCATAAGCTTGTGAGCTGTAATTCATGCACAATATAAACTGAGAAACACGTGGTTTGTTTACTGTATTAAGATTCACAGGATATGAAAGGTAGTACTCAGTTTCAGGGAAGTTTATGATGTATCCAACACATTCATTTAGGAATTTAAATCTAACAAGAGCACTTACAGAGAAGATATTTTCATCTGGTTTGGAACCAAATGTACCAGACAAAATTAAACAGATGTAATGCAATTCTTATAATAAAACACTGTGATTGCTTAGAAAGTTAAATACTGCATAAAAATGTCCACACTTTCTGCAGGCAGAGCAGAGAGGTAGTGAGGAGCCATGAGGCAACTCTGATGCTTAAATGACCATGGAGAAGCTGTTCAGTGCTGCAGAAGCTCTATTACCCAAGAATTCAGGATGCTCTACCCAGACATAACAAATCAGGGTAAAAAGGCAGGTATAACTCACCATATTTGGCACACTGGTGACAGGAGTACTCTTGATGTCAGCAGGATTCCTGGCTTGTTTGGTAACTGAGGATTCACTCCTGTAGCTCCCATCTGCTGCCCTCCAGTTTGACTGAAAGGCTGCCCAAAGGGACTAGTGTTCCCTGTCATTCCCATCTGGAAAAGAATGAATGAAATGATTGTAATTTCCTTGATTCCGAAGGGATATTAAAAAAGATAAAAAATAAAACATATGTCAAACATCCATCTTTGCACTCACATAGACCAAATTCCAGTTTAAGTTGCTCAATATTAAATTATTGATTTCACAACTTCAATCAATTTTTTTTTAAAAAAACAACAAAATTACAAATTTACACAGCTGTGTGTTTAGAAGTCTTGGCAATTTGACTTACAAAATCATGCAAATGCAAAGGAGAAAACAAGACTTTCCTTCACAATCTGCATTGACAGAAATTACTTTCTCCAACACTGCAAAAACTTTTGAAAACCAAACAAGCCTCAAATCCTGTTACACTTTGTGCATTCTCTGCACATAGTTTGTACACAGGCTACATGGGAAGGGAGAGGCATCTAGCAAATGCTCATCTACTGATGGTTTGGTTCTTGAGGAAAAGCATCTGAACAAAAGGACATCTATCTAAGGCTGACATCCCTGACAAATGACACTCCCAAAACTCCTTAAGAATAGCAAGCAGAAATATGACTCCCCCTGAATGAGTAAAGGGAACAGTGTGCATATCCAAAGGGCCCTCTCGCCTGGAGAGGAGACTCCCAAGAGAAGTGCTGAAATCTCTTTTACTTGAGCCAATCATTATTACACTGGACAAAAGGTCCTAAAAAGGCATTTTAGCAGGAATTGACTTCTTTCAAAGATGTTGACTAAGACAAGGACCCTCTTTCCCCCTCCAAATAAAGAGAAAATAAAAGTTGATGGATCATGGTTATGCTTTTCCCTGCCCCACACTGGGAGATTGACTTTCTTACCTATCAGAAAGTCTTAAATATAAATCCAACCATTGAGTGTTTATTTGAAATACTAAATCCCACTTTTCCTTCCATTTGACCACTCCAGCCTTTCCTTATAGAACACACTGGTTTTCCATGGTCCTGGTCTTTTCACTTCCCTCACCAGCAGGGATTCAGGAGGACAATTCCTACAGCACTCATCACCTTATCAGTGCAGCAGCCTCGTCACAAGGAATTGCTCAGTGGTTGCTTTTTCATGCTTACAGGAATCAACAACCAGTTGATGAAGTCCTGGTTAAGAGCAGTAAATGATACCAGGGCAAAGTCCAATAAACACAATTTGACTGTGCCTTGTCCTCTTTGTCAGTGTACTTTGGACACTTGGGCTTCAGACAGCTGGCCCAGAAGTACTCCAAGTAGCTTTAGGTTAGAAAATACTCCTTTCACCCGCATCCTGCAGTGACTATTCCTATATTCAAGCCTTTTTCCATGGTACAAAATGTTTTATCTTTACAGAAGGATCTGACCCACTACATACATGTTAAAAAAAACCCCAACAAACCACAAAACAACTGTTACTTGGTAAAGTAAGAGGTTATTGTATATATGCTCTGCTCTAGAGTAAAGCTGACTAGTTGAAATGGCATATAAGACCAAAAAAACCCAACTGCTTAAAAGTATCAATATCTTAATAATACAGACTGCTTTTAAAGAGATATTTGCTACTATCACATTGCACAAGTATCCATAGTTTTGTTTTCTATATGTGTTTTATTTCTACGTTTGTTTCATGGGACTATATGTTCAAAGAAATTAGTTTTAGAAGTTATTTATTACACCTGGATTTTGGCAGCTTTTCTCCGAAGAATTAACAGTGACGTATTTAGAAAACTTACCCACTCATCTGAACCCACTATTTCAGACAAGGTTTGAGAACAGATCATCTTACATCTACAGCCATTCATTAATACTATGGTTGTTTATTAGATTAACAAGGAAGAAAATTTCTGAAACTAAATGTGAGATCATGAGAACAGAGCTTCTAGGTGACTATTTAAACCTTTCTCAGGCCAGAAAGACGGATCATTAGTTCATTGGCTATTATTCAGTTTCCTCCTTGTGTTTAAATCCCCAACTACAAACTCCATATGTCTACAGAAGTCAGCCCTTCTAGACTTTGTACCTGCCTGCAGGTTTGATGGTTTGTTTTTTTTTTAAATTGAATAATATATCTGACTACTCTGGCAACCAACCTCTGAGCCCCTGTGGCCACCGCCACCACCACCACTATGAAAGCACAGTGGTGAGCACAAGTTGGTAGAGAGAAATGCTGCATACAGAAGATCTTACTTCCACTATTCCCTAACCCTGGCCACACCACCCTAAAAAGGGCAACAGTGAGGAGATGGAAAAGACTGGGAGCAGACAGTGAAGTTGCCTAACACAGCTGTGCTGAGCTTGAGCAATATCAGGCTACAAGCCTCTGGCAGAATCTTACACAGCTGAATTTTCAAAAAGCAGAAGAAAGATTTTCTTTTCTTTAGGCAGTGTGAATGCTAGGCAAATTTTACACCAAATTTAAGTTCTTGCTCCAAAAGAAAGGTGTTCTTCATCTCCTCTCATCACCAGGAAAGATTAACTTTTTTTTATTAAAGGAAAAAATTATTTAGAAATAGATTGTTAAACTTGGATTGTTAAAACTACATCACTAGAACATTTTGAAAGTACCAAGGAACTACCCCAACAGGTACCACATGGCTGATTTATCATATTCTGTTTTTTCCTTTTCAATGGATTTTGTTATTAAACATATCACACTAAAACAGCAAAGCAACCTTTCAAGTCTTCCAAACTCAGTGATGATGTGGAAAAATTTTCCTTTTTTAGGTGGTCGTTAAGATACTTGATTGAAATTTAAAGAAATGCCTTCTGTTCTTTGAAAATACTGGAAGCAGAGTAGCTTCCACTTGAAACCGTGTAATTGTTTAAGCTTGTTCTTTACCACATGGGATTTCAATGTCTAAAGCTTTGCTTCAACAAGTGAAAGGAACCTAAGGCTAAAGAGTTACACTAGTCTACAACTTAACAAAATAAAGAGATAGTTTGATAACATTGTAAAACATTAGACATGACCTTTAGCCTACACTTCATTTTTGTGAATTACTGCCAGCCAGTCAAACTGGCAAAGATCTTTGTGTTTGTTTGTTTGAAGTCCACCTTTAAAAAAAATCAAAACCTGAAAAGATGGAAAGACCATTATTATTATTACTATTATTATTATTTTTAAGAGGCAATCCCTGAAGTAAATGTGGAGCCAAAAATCTGAAAGGACCAAGCACAAGTTAATTACAGCTCACAGGCATCTGGAGCTCCAGCATTTTTTTAAACTCAGTTTTGCCTCAGAGAAATTCAGGTGCCTCAAGAGCACAGGGCTGTGACTCCCAGACACTAGAAGTGAACAACACAATGCAAGAACTGCTCTAATGAACTCCTATCTATTTATAACAGTTCTAAACCCAGGCTAGGATCCACAAGGACTTTTAGCGCAGAACAACCTGCTGCCAAACAGCATTAAGATCAACAGCGTTTCAGAGCTGTGACTGGCAACCCGAGCAGAAGCTCAGCATTTATTCCAGCAGCAATCATTTATTCCAGCAAAGGCAGCAAGGTAGGAACTGCAGCAAAGCAAAACACTGCCAGCTCCTCACTCAGGGGGGAAGCAACAAATGGGAGGTGGAAGAAAAGGAAGAACCCCTGCCTATCAAACACTGAAAAGATGTGCAGGTGCACAAGGCATTAACTGGCATTTCCTGGTTAATTATCTGAACAGAGATCAGGTGACCTCCTGTAAAACTTTATCTAAACCACTACTAATTGAAATCTCAAGAAAACAACTGGCATATATCATCAGATGATCGAACATATAGAGAGTAAACATTTTACACTGCTTATTCATTTTGCAAACTGAAACCAGCAGCCCTGAAGGAAACAAGTCAGAAAAGGCTCAAACTCTACAGCTCCTGCCTCTGCACCCAAGTTTTTTCCTATGTGAAATGAGGGGGCAGGTGGGGAAAGGCAGATACTCATAAGACCTTTGTTTTTATACTTCTGAAACAGAACTCTGATCCTGAATTAGCTAGTTCAGGAGCAGATTACTAGGTAATTACAAGTCATCAAAGCAGATAAAACTGCAACAACATGGGAGTTAGCAGCCAGGTCCTTTTCACACGGGACTCTGAGGCAGCACCAAGCCTTGTATTTTGCTTCGTTTGTTTAATTCACTGCCCTGAAAGGAATGAAGGCAACAAGCAATCCCGTGCAAGCTGTTTCTTCCACCTGCAACGAATGGGCACAGATATGTATCCCAGGGCTACTCAACACAGCAGTGTGGTGGCCGCTGCATTTCCATTACAACAAAAGCATAAAGCTTCTCTCCAAAAACCTGGGTTTTGCTGTTCAATCCCACTTTATTCTAAGCTTAAGGATGTTCCCTGCCCTGTTGCCTTCTCTGCCAGTTCATCTCCTTTCTTCTCTCCCTGATGCAACCACCATTTCCTGCAAGGCCACGTTCCCTGCGCTCCTTCATCCCCGGGTGGCTCCTTTCATCCCACCTCATTCTCTGCCAACTCATGTTTTATACTCGTGTTTCCGTGCTGCAGTTTTGTGCAACTCTTGCTTCTCTGTGCTCACAACTGCAATGACTTCTGCTGGGGTAATGCCGACTTTTTCACAATCCAAGTGTCTGCTACGCAGCTGCAACGGGGTAGAAGTGGGGGTGCTACAAACCACCCCAGCACAGGAACACACCACCTGAAGTCACTGAAGAAGTAACACAACTAATGCAGGACACCAGCTTAAACACATTATTTCTACTCTAAAACAGTTCCTCTCAGAAATATGACAATGCTGCTCTCCTTTAATGGGAAAGATGCATTTAATAATTCTGCTATCCAGAAAGAAAAGCAGATTTTGTTCCCTTTTTTTTATCACTATGGCAACTCTCTAAGATACTGGAATCTATTACTGAGTGTGGATAGGAAATAGGGTATTTCACTCTACTCTCACAAGCCAAGAAATGTACAAACTTCCAAGCTGAAAAAAGAAAAACTTTAAATCTTTGTTTAGCTGACTTGGACTTCAGAATACATCCCACACTGCCATGTTTTGAGCAGCAAGTGAGAGGTACT